ACAGATTTTTATGGCAGACAGATCTGCTACAGCTGTTCACTGTTCTTCTCCATGCTCTCCTTTTTGGAAACTCTGTACAATTAAACATTCATACAAAGTGAGACAAACCTATAAATAGCTTGTTAAGAACAGAGAGGAGATTGATGTCTAACAGCAGTAACATTCTCAGTCATTTAAGGACACCCTTAAAAGAAATAGATAGAAGCTTCTAGTGGGGTTTCAGGTTTCCACTCAAACATGCTGACCAACGGGACACTGCGACACTGGTGAGGACTCTCGTGTGACTGGACCTGTCAGTCAGTCCAATTAGTGTAGGAGAATAGTGATATGAGGTCTGTAATCTGTGCAGTGCCCACAGTCCACCAGAATGGAGAAGACTTTTGAGCAGGTCATTTACTCTTGCCCTCTTGTTTGAAACCAGTCAACTGTGACATTTTTGCAAACTGGATAATCTAATTATTCTTTGGGCTCCTAAACTTCTTGCCAAACTGCATTTGGCTGTCGTACAGAGGAATACATTGGATGTGTTACGTAATGTATTTGAAATTGTAATTAAAAGCTCATTATTCAAAACACTCTAATCCCACTGCCTGATTCGCATGTTCTCATTAGCATCATGTTGTGATCACTGAGTTTAGTCTTTTGCCTCAGCAGAAGGCTTTCCTGACTTTTCTTATAACCTTAGAATGTCTGGGTATAACGGTGCGTGGTCTTCCAGGACCTTTACTGGATAATTCCAGAATTTTTAAACCTGGGCCATATTTTATTTTATTTTTTTATATATTATGGGGTCCCTAATGACTAGGTACCGAATGTTTGGCTGTTAACTAACCCTTTAAAAGAACAAAAACAAAGCAATTGAGGCAGTGGTAGACCAGTGTTGCAGTGTCTGCCAGATAAAATGACTGGTGGATTCTAACAGAGCAACGTAATGGCTGTTTCTGGTTAAACAAAAAGCATCTTGCTCTTTAACAAAAAGGTTTATCCAGGATCATTTCCATAATGTTGTCAGATAATTTAAAATGATAACAATCTGAGCCTGTCAGTGGCAACAACAAGCACTTTAGGTGGACGTATTTTGACGGGCCTGTTTCACGGCTGCCAGCTGAGACGATCTACTGGGCCAATTCTAAACCTTTTTGTACCTATTAGTCATTTAGACCCCAAAGTATGTATAGGGCCCAGGTTTAAAAATACCAGAATTACCCTATAACTTCAAAGCAGCACAGCATCAAATATACAGTATTTGAACTCTTAGGGTTCTGTTTTGTTCCTCAAACAGAAAAAATGAAAAGGTTTTACTATATAATTGCATTAAAATGTGTTTTATAGTTCATGTGATTGCAATCTAAAGTATGCATTTTGTTTTTATGTCTCTAGTTTTTCCATGCCAGACAAGAAACAGGCTCTGAGTATCAAGATATTATCAGTTTTTATAGAAGGAAATGGACACCAACACACATAACTTGCAACCCAAGATATGACTGATAATTGCATTAGTTTCTTTAACTCTATGATTGTATGTTTTACTTTACTTTCTTTGAACCCTGTGCTGGAGAAAGTGCCACACCCTGTGTAAAACCAATGTTTATCTGTGACACAGCATAGTATAGAGAAGAGTTCTACATTTACTGAATTGGATCAATTGGTATTTAAGGTTTGTTAACATTTGTTAACAATATCAAAAGCTATTGGTCATACTGGCACAGATTCAGGATTCAGGAAAGTTTCTCACTTTCCTTTGGATCCCTGGATTGTCATAAAACAAGGTAGAAACTCCTCCCGTACTCCGCCACCGGGGTCCATCCAGCTAAGTAACAAGTTTGATGTGTCTGCCTGCTTTCCACACGGCTTTTCCCTAAGATTCCCAAATAATGTCATTACAATAGAGAACAGTGCCTGGAACCAAATTTCAAAAATCCTCTTAACTCCACATTAATTAAGATTATACTATGAACAGGCCACACAAATACCCTGCCTCTGGAGTCTTTGCCCTTGATGTTAGTGGTCGCTGTCCGCCTGTGTCAGAGAGACTTAAATTTAGATCTCATATTATCAACACAAGAAATTATAAGCATGTTTATGGATTTTTTTTTTGCTGATTTTTCCATCTCTAACATATATATGTTACATATATGTTCTATAACTGACCTTTTACAACATTTTAGTGTTATTGCTGATGGACATGCTCCTTATAAAAAACAGATTCAATCCTTGGTTCTCCCCACAACTCTCTAGTGCCATCCACAGCAGAGACAAAGCCCGGGACCCCTGAAGACTGGTTAACCTTTAGCCAACAAAGAAACATCTGCCACAGCAATATCAGGAAGGCCAAATCAAATTATTATCAGTCAGTTCTCTCTGGAACACTGTAGCAATTCATCACAGCCAGACCTCCCACCTCAGATCAAACAAGTATCTGGCCATATTATCGATAGATCATCCACGGTTGCAGTTGTTCACTGTTCCGTCTCATCTGGTCATATATTTAATACAACTGCATATTCAACTGTAGACAATTACCATATATGTCCAGCAGAGAGTCCCCAATGACTCAGCTTCCTCTGACTGCAAATCATCTTTTAAGTTTGTTAAGCAGTGTGGGTGTTTACAAAGCTTTGCTCTGTTTATAACCAAGCGAAAACGCTGATGCAGATAATCTTGATCCATATCTTTTTCATCGAAGTGCACCCTTAATCTGTTCACATTGAGGTCATATTTCTAACCAATCCTTTTTAACAAGCGTGTTTCCAGCTTTGTGGGAAAGCATCTTAGTCAGTTTGTTGGTTTGTGACATGGAAGCATCTGGTAAGACGTCGTTGAGAACTGCTCTTTCAAAAAAGACTCAGCAGGGGATTGAATGAACCATCCGTCTATCCCCGTCTGTCACTTCAACCAATCAGATCAACGAACCATAGAATGTAGCCAAACTCTTACTGTCAGTCGGGAGAAGAGTGGAAACACCTTCTCCGTGAAAAAAGGCTTCAGTGCCGTTCTTTGCTCTTCTTTCGATTAAGAAGTACTCTACAGTTCTGATACAACTGATTCTAGCAGCATCTACGCTAACCTCTTTAGCAGAACTAACTAAAATGTCAAGTTTACACATTCAGATTAATTTGCGATTTGTTCATTAGCATTTAACATATATGTGTGTGTATATATATATATATATATATATTTAAATAATTAATTTAATTATCATCATTATTATAAACTAATGGCTTGAACTAACAACCACTAGTGGACTGGGGATATCTTTAGTTGAAGACAGCCCTAGTACTCCAGTCATCTTATCATCAGAAATGAGTTTCCACAGGGGTCTAAAATGTCAATTTTTTTTGCTGATGATACAATTCTTTATGCCCCATTTTTCACCCCAGCCGTTACTCATCTTTAGTCAGCCTGCTTTCCGATTATTATTATACTCCTTAATCACAGACTAGTTTTTAATGTAGAAAAGACCAAGTACATGCTATTCTCCACCTCCAGCAGTGTCTCTGACTATCCTGCTGTTAAAACTTTAAATGGCACCGACACTGCTCTTGCTGAGTCCTACAAATGCTTGACAGCAGACAAGATTCATATTCATGACTCAAAAATTAAAAACCAAACTGGGCTTCTTGTATAGAATTAAAGGATATCTGTCTTCTTCCAACTGTACAACTCGTGTGCAGTCCATTGTATGTCTGTCCTTGAGATATTCTGTATTGTCATGCTGCAACATCAACATTTCATCAGTTAAACCCTGTGTATGATAGCGCATTACACTTTATCACACATGACACATTTCATACATAACTTTCTCTGTATCACATGGTTGTATGGACTTCTTCACAGTCAATTAGAAAACAGCCCTCTCATGTTATGCATTTGTAAAGCTTTACGGTTGAAGCTCCCAAACTACACCACATCTCTTCTCTCATCTAAATGTACAGGACACAATCCAGTAACTACTTAACCTTAGATATCACTCATACACTCTACTGTTCGCAGAATTGGGTTTCAGTCAGATATGCATCCTTTTAATGAAATGACCTGCAATCTGTCCTCAAACTGAAGACTTACATTCCCCTTGGATATTTTGAAGCTTTATTATCTGATGTTTTTTATATGATTGTTTCCATGAATCCCTTGGGGTTAGAAAAAAACCATCCACTGCTCTCCCCAATAAGTCTAATACTTTTCCTATAATACCTTAGTTCATGAAAACTGACCTAAAGAAACAATTTACGTACTACCTTCCAAAATAGTGCAAAGAACTGGAAATGACTTAGTGGCCATATGAGACAACTACAGGCTAGAAAGTAAATAGGGCAATTGAATGATGATGGCATATTTGCCAAGAAAGAAAAATGGCGTGAAAGTGCAATAAATATCTTCTTCAACTTCACACTGCTGCCGGAACACTTGAAACGTAAGACACAGAAACCATACAGTATCTCTCACCTTGGTTGTTCATGGGACACTACAGGTCTTGATGTAAGGAGGGGTGTGATTTATCTGGGATGGAGACCCAAGGATAAAGCCAGATGGAGGGGAAGAGGTTGTTATTATTTATGGAGAGATATAAAGGCAGACAGGCAAGGCTGTGGAAAATCCACCACGCTGAGACTGGAAGCTCACTTTAGATAGCAGCCTGATTGTCCAACACAGAGGTCACACGCTACGTGTTATATTACATAATTTTAGTCATGAATGAAGAGAGCGGGGCATCCCACATACTGTAGCACATTTAGAAAAAGATTTTCCCTTTTGGCTTTGACCTGATGTAAATAAATAAAGAGTCAGTTATTAAACCGTTTTTTTTGTTCCTGAAAGTCTTTCATATTCATTTTTATCTCATAAAAAAACTTTCCAACCTCTACTCTGCCTGTCCCTAATTTAGGCATATTTCACACATATTGACCATTAAAGCTGCTATTTCCATCCTTTATTGACATTAGCCTATTTATCCTGGTCTATTTCAAAATCCACACTTTTATCGTGTCTTCGTCTCTCACCTGCATTCCTGAGCTTTTTGTTCCTGTACACGGACAGGATAACGAGGACATTGCCCAGGATGTCGACCACGATGGTGAAGATCAGCACGCTGGCCAGCGCAGTGGACACTCCAGCGGAGGAAGCGCTCAGCCCGCGGTCGCTCTCATTCCGGGACAAACAGTTCGACCCGTTCACATCCTTCACCTCTAAATCCATCTCCCATCAGGGTGCAGTGGGCATGATGGGAATACTACAATGTTCAGCTAAAAAAAAAAACCACATTAACAAACCAAAAAAATCAAAAGAATTTTCTTGGAGGGGGTCTTGAACTTTTTTTTTTTTTCAGGGTTGAAACCCATAGTCCTCCTTCACCTATGGAGTAAACAGGATGAAGACGCGTACCATGACATGATCATAATATATATTTTACGCATGCAGGGAAATTTAAGAAGTTCATCTCTGAGGTGATAAAGATGCCAGGAGCTCGTGTTTCACCGTCGTCCTCCGTGTGGTCCTCATGAGTCACCAAGGCTCTTCCTGCGCGCTGCTCCATTCTGCCAGGAGGGCTCGTTCAGAGGGCATGTGAGCGCACTCCTGTGCGTAATGGAAATGCGAGAACGCGAGGCACATACACGAACCAACGGGGAGTCCCGTGTTGGCTTTTGATGGCCTTAATAAAGACTATATTCGTGTTTTACTGTCTCCAGGCAGGCAGATTGGAGCGCTTGTTAAAAATATGTCAGATAAGATTGTGAGTTGTTGCAAACTATAAATAAAAAAAGCTATTTTTGCATCCTAACCCTCTTCTCTGCACCTGTCTCATTAAATAACAACCCCAGCGTCTGACAGAATGTGGAGTTGCGGAGAGTCGTGCCAGGGAGGCTAGCCTGTAGCTTATTTTAATTGCAAGGGTTACAGCAGAAGCCATTAGCAACTTGTCAGGTTTCTTACTGATCTTCATTAAGACAGAGCCTCTCCTTCCATGTGCATGGAAATGGCGCCTTCATGTGTTCAATAGAGACTCTTGCAAACAGTGAAAAACACTCAAAGAGGACTGGTTAATATTTTACAATCATATGTTAGGAAAGGTTTATTATTAATGGTGCATCACTGGTGTTATTTAAGGCACTGAAATCATACACCAAAGCACGATAGAACATGTTGAAGAAATTAAACAAAACATTTCTTCATTTCTAAAAATTGTACATTTCAATTGAGCCAGCTGGTTCTGAAAGTAATGATGTCAAGTGAGATTAGAAACCTCTTTGAAGTCATATTGTTGGCAATAGCGCTGCAATAAAGGATTATTTTTACTGGATGTTTTGTTGTTAGTTTATTTTTTTTTTACTGTATTTTTGGACAGTAACTTACCCTGGACCCTGACATCCACGGGCCTCAAAGGACTCCAGAATTTTACATACCATTAATCTTTCAGATTATAATATGAAAACATAATCTATTTCTATAATTATATTTCATTTTGTTCAGTTTCCAATTGCATGTACGTGTTGATGAGCACCGTTAAACCACTAACCAGAAAAGGGCTGTGAAGCATCCCAACCAAAATCCATTTACTAACAAATTCTCAAGATTTATTGGAATCCCAATACAGTCAAAATTAAAGTTAATAAATGCATTATAAGCCCCCAAAATCTATAATAATGGACTTATTTTATGGGATCTATATATTCACTTTAGTGTGTTAATATTGGAGCTTTTATCATTCTTATTAGATTATTATAAAATTGATGCATTTTGTATTTCTGTCCTTTATGTGTTCACATCCAAAAAACTCAGTTTCTCAGCTTCTTAACTTTGCTGCCAAAAAGTCCCCAACATGCATATCAGTCATGTTTTCCTAGTGTGTTTGAATTTATCCAAAGGTTTTATTTTTATGTGTGAAAAATAGTGGGGTAGTGTGGACATAATACAAAGAGAAAAAGACGTGCAGTGGTAGGCGGCTGCGAAATCTGCAAAAATCATCAAGAAACGGGAAAGGCATCTAGAGCCAGTGTCTGGATTGTCTGTTCTGTGCTACTGTAGAAACATGGAGGTTCAACATACCAAGAAAGGCAACTCACGGCGTCTATATATAAAAACGGCTCATTCAAAGCTAACAAAAGCAGAACAATACTTATTTTCAGGTGATGATACACTAATAATACATAATATGTTAAATTTCTGCCAATAAATGTTAAATGTTACTTACTGGATCTTTAAGCCTGCTTTGTCTTAAATCAACATATATCTTATAGTAACACTGAATAAAAACATTCAGTGAATTTATTACTGAAATTGTAGCTCACTGACCTGCAAGTTTACTGTATGGTTGAGTCTGAGCTGCTCCCTCTGACTTCAATAACAGCTGGATTCTGCTCTCCAACACTACTTGCCCAGCACCGAACTGCTTACAGAAAGCAACTAACTAGCGAACATAATCATGCATCTACACATTCATAAGACTGAGATTTATTTTCTTTCTCAGGGGATATAAAAGACTAAATAGGAGCTATTGTAACAACACCTCCCTCCCCTCCTGGTGCCCCTATGTGTCGCCATAAATGCATCACAACTTTCTGCATGTTGTTGCTGGTGCCCTGTTTATTTATTTTTTTTGCCCCTGCCCCTCATACAGGCGGAGTCTGCCACTAACAACAGCCCATAAGATATAATCACCACACTGACCATGTGTGGGTCTGATTGCAGAACCAATCAATGAATGCGTGCTGTGTCACATTTCTAAAGCACGGTTTATTTTTGTAAATAGAAAACAATGTTACTTTAAAATAAAAAGGCTAATAACACTTGTGGTCTGAAATGTGACTCAAATGTCTGTACACATTGCAATCTTATCTCATTCACACTACAGAAAAATGATGTGAATCTCAGGAAACAAGGAAGAAATTCAATATCCTGTAACAGAGGCTACACTGTATTAAGCCTGATGTGTCCTTATTGCAAGATCAAGACTGCATATCTACAGGCAGAACATAAAAGCTTCTGTACAGACTAAATAAAATGTGATTGTGATGAGAAACTTTGTGTTTTGACTCTTTTATTGTCTGGAAGAGTTTTCATCATATCAGTGGTTTATTGGATCATAAAATGCTTAAACTAAAGGTCCTTTAAGACGTGTCCACTAATTTCCAAAAGTCAAACTAAAGTCTGTAATCTTTTTCAGTTGGCACATCACTTCATTAATTATACATTGCTATCGACAACACAAACATTGTGGTTCTGTAAGAAATAGTTACACAACTATAGCCCCGGGGATAACTTAACAGAATGTTACAGGTCTTCTGGAAATGTAGACATAAACAGGCTTATGATTACAACAGTGACGCCTAAACTGTATGAGTGTAATTTACTTTTTGAGGGGTGACATGGTTTTCCTTCAGGGCATCCTGTAGCCAAACATGTGGCCTTGGTGCTCTGCACAGTCTGTGACTCAGTAACACAGGCTTCTCAATGCATAGCCATTAAGGCTCCATTCCATTTAGTGTAGCAAATCCTTTCCAGTGAGCCAAATTGCACAATCGCACCCTGACTCTGTTGGACCTGAATGAAGCAGAACCTTAATGTTAGCAAAAGCATCCTATGTACACACAGAACAAGAGCATCCCATTAAAGTCATGTGATATGATAAATGTTAAGTCCAGCATGCACTCACCTATTACAGGGTTTTCATTCAAATTAAAAGGCTGGAGTGAAGTAAGACCTCCACCCCATCTGCTCTTTTCACAGCAGACATTTTGGCAAGGCACAGGGGTAATAACTTAATATTAAAAACAACTCTATTCCCATGAGCTAGTCCCCAGTGTCCTCATATTGTGCACATTGGCTCACTGGTATGGCTTACTTGGACACTTAGTGGAACTGAGCCGCTGTTAATAAAATGTGTATCACCTGTGTTTATCCTGCTAACAAGTCAAAATGTCTGCTGTGAAAAACATCTTTGGCCTAGCTATACCTATACTATGTAGGCTATATGCAGTTAAAAATATATAGAAAAAGCCTCCAAAAAAGACTTAATTTTCCATAACTTTACAGTTTATTATATTCATGTAGAAATAAAATAAAATCTACAATTAATGTAAAATGGCTTCAAAACAGTCTCATCTCAACATCAATTTAGTAGTAGTATCAGCAATAAAATAAAAAAACGTATAGTACACATTGAAAACCTACTCATTATTAGTTAGAAAGCAAAGAGGGTCTGTACAGGCTAAATAAAAGTGATTGTGATTGAGAAAACTAGTCTTTAAATTATTTAAAGTGAACCTTCAGTGTTGATGGTTGTATCAGTTTTATTATTGAAACTACACACATTTTTTATCACACTTAATCCACTTTTATTAATCTCTCAATGTGCAAAACCAGATTCTTCATTTTGAACTAACCAAACATACTTTTCTCAAAGCACGCCACTGAACACACTTACCATACATTTACATCATTCCACTTACTACTAAAACCTTTATATCTGTGTGCCTTTTTCACCATAAGCTTTCAGTACTGTACAATGAAAATATGGCTGGGATTATTAGCATAATTACTTGGACACACAATGTGACAAAAATCTAAGGCACTAGAAGTCATAGACTACGGTCCACATATTCTGCTGAAGCACACATAGATCTAGGACAATGAGGGTAAAGACAAAATATTCACAGCAGGCTTTTTCTGCTCAGCAAACAGGCTACATGTGACATAAGAGACATCACATGAAAAATACTAAACAGGAGCACATGACTCATTTCTTGTCTCTTAGCCAAAATATAGGAGCTTGTGTATGCAGTCTTTGTATTATGTAAGAGGAGCTTCATCACAGTTCTGTGTATGAAGAGCCTAGTCTTTCTGCAGAAATGATTTACCCATACAAAATGGAAATATAGGCACAGGTATGTCCTGGTGTGGCTAATCTCCAGGTGCGGCCAAGATCCGTGTCCAGCCAGGCCTGAGAAGGGGGTCACAGGTGGCATCCAGCAGTGGAAGTCACAGCACCTGTTTAAGCATCTGGACCATCATGGCCGATATGTTTTGATAACATCTTTGATGGGTCTCCTGCATATTGGACAGCATGCATTGATCTGTCTCTTCAGCTTCAGCCCACAGTCGTTGCACAGACACATGTGTCCACAGGTGTAGATGACGGTGTCCACCTCCTGGTCGAAGCAAATGGTGCATTCTCCATTTTTTCCAGCAGGGGGCAGTTCTGAAGCAGTGAAAGTGGGAGAGACGGGAGGACTGAGAGGGGAGCTGGGAGCAGTCACTAGAGGAAAAGGAAGAAAACATGTAGGTCTTGGTCAGACATGGATGCACGGACATAGATAACTCTTGTAATTGTCATTGTTGTGGGAAGTGTATGAATACTGTTGTTTTTATATTCTATTTTTTTATTCTCTCTTATATTATATTCTTTATTCTTTATCTGTGTTTTGGAAGGTGTTTTTTTTAGCAAAATACACATATTCATGTTAGAATCTGATCTTTGATAAATTATTTAAAGGACACAGTGTGTAGGATTTAGTGGAATCTAGTGGTGAAGCTGCAGATTGCAACCATTTGAACACAGCTCAGCCTTCCAAGTGTATAGAAGAAATTATGGTGGCGCTGGGCTATTGTAATAACATTGCGGTTCAACATGGCGGCCTACGTAGACCTGCTCCCTCTATAGATAAAAAAACATCACCATAAACATACCTATGAATATTACATTCCATTTCTGCCAATAGATCATCATACATGTTACATACTGGTCTTTTAAACATAACAAAACAGTATGTACTAGGGCTGAAACTAATTATTATTTTCACAATCAATCTGCTGATTATTTTCTTCATTAATTTTCG